CAGTCTTTGTAGAATATGTTTATCACTTAGCTTGTTGCTTAACAATTATTATTTGCACAAAGGTGAAGATAAAAAAAAAAAATGTATAGCCAAGTAAAAAAACAGAAATAAGGACAAAAATCAAATATGTGAAGTGAGGGTTCTAAAAATAAAATATTCTCATTTATACTGCTGACAGTGAGGGTTGAAGAACACGTGCATTCTAATTGTTATAAATTATTATTTTTTGGCATTGCATACTAAATTGGCTACATCGATAATGGGATAACTTTTCTAGGTAGCGTTGTTTGTTTTGATGACAGTGTAATTACAGATGTATGAACTGTGTTTATTTTAATGTATTTGAAAGTCATTATTTATTAACATTTCAATGGAGACTTTACAGCAATATTTTTTTACAATGTGTAGGATTTAGTTTGATGTTAGGTTTAATGTAATTGCAATAATTTGGTCTAGCATGGGAAATTTTCTTAATTATGTATACTGAGACTTAAAATAAATGCTAGTAAAACATCTCAGGCTTGCTTGTAAATTCAACTCGGCATCTATATGTTTCTCAGTATGCATCAGTCTAAGCCGTTCAGTTATGTTAAAAAAACTGAACAACACTTTTGGAATTTCTCACTAGTTTTATGTTATTATTAGATAATATCTAATATAAAGCTAGAGAAACTGCTGATTTGGAGCTTTCAACATAGTGTGTGTGATCATTCAGTATCTGATGAAACAATGGCATTATTTGCCATTATTTAGTTATAGTTAAGTGACTTGATAAACTTGAAAAGTTAACAACTTTCTTGTCTTTCCTTATAATGTTTTAGGTTTCAAGAGAGAAATTCAGAAAGTAGCCAATTCTTTCAGAGATTTAGGAACTGCTTTTGAAATGGAGACTTCACCTCGTAAGTACACACACAGTAATATATTCTTATCACGTGTGTAGTTAAGTGAGGAAACTGTTTTCTCCAGCTCTGAACCAGTCTTACAAGTTATGTGCATGTTTCAACTTTCAAATATCAAATATATTTATCTAGTTTGAGTTATTTTCTTTTTAAAAGTGTACACAAAACTACAATAATATTAATTTCTTGTAAAGATTTTATTGTTTTCACTTCTTGAAATTATTATATTCCCCATTATTATTCTTAAGTGATTTGCGTCTGTAGCTTTTTGATTTATATACAATGATATAAAAGATATGGGACAGTTGAGTTTAAACTTCATAAATGTATTTTTAAAAACATACAAGTGTATATTTTATTCGCTTCAAAAGAAAATACTTAATGTAAAATTAGAGTTTAAGTACACTCAAATATTTGTTTCTTATCTATATATATATATATATGTATAAGTGCAAATGTTTGTCTCTCTCTCTCTCTGTTGGTCTGTTCCTTCTGCACGGTCACATCTTTAAAGCTACAAACTCCAAACTCAGGGTACAGATACAACTTTGTGTAGGAAATAACATGGGGTATGTGGCTGTGGCCTCGGAGGCTGTTTTAAGGCTGCAGATTGAGGCCAAAATGATCAATATAGCAATTTCTGGCTCACAGGATGACCAGTTAGTCTCATCTTGAAAAGGCCAGATTTTTTGATAACTTGAGGGCTATTATTTATGTTTCTTCTCTGTGTGAGGACTTCTCCTAATTATTCTCTCCAGGATTAAAACGATTTAAAAACTTCATGGATACTTCATTTTCTTCTCCGATAATACTCTCTTTGCTTTCTCTCTTTCTTCTACCCATAATGCCTACTGTCTAATTCTCCTTAACTGAAAAAGGTTGGTTCTTTCTTTGAAACATGCACACACACACACTCTCTCAACTAAATAGAATTGCTTCAGCCATTTTTTGCTTTGCTTGCATGCGTATACTCACAAGAATCAGCTATACGATGAATTTACTAAAACATTTGGTATCAGCAAATTTTCATTAAATGTAACGATAATAAAGTCAGAATACGCTGCAAATAACACCTGCAGCAGGAATCAGGACACCGAAAGTAAGGGAATTTTGTTTTGGAAACGTGAAATGTCGTGCAAAACACATGTAAGAAGCAGGAGCAATGTACACGGTATTGGTTTAATTGAAAAAGCAAATTTTTATTTTTTTCAGACATTGTTATTTTTATTGATTTTAATTGAAACATTTAGTTGGGTGAAGACATCATTTTGATTTTGCAAAAAATCACGGTTAATACGGTTGATTTAATCAAAACGATTCAAGATATTTAAAGCCATTTTCATCTAAGCAATGCAGGGTACTCTACTAGTTAAAACTAAATACATCATTTCTGTGTTTATCATCATATTAACCAATTATTTTTACTTTTTTAAAAGAACTGATATTCTGTCCGAAACAAAAGAATTACCTTTGTGTAATTCTAGTCTATGTCACTGATTAACTGAAGTTTTAATTATGTAATTCTTTAGCCTTATGCATGTTTCTTTATCTTTGTTTTGATAAAGCATATCTCATCATGTTCATTTCCCATAAAGAATAGTGTGAGAAATATTACACGAAGAGAAAGACCTCTCTTCCACATATATTGGTGTTAAATAATCAGCTGATTTACGTATATCTTTTTTTATTCTATAATGATAGGCTTTTGTGGTATATTTACACATGGTTTCGTAATAAAACATCATATTACCCATATGTTGTTCTAGAGGGTATGGAAAACTTTTTTTTTAATATACAGTTGCTTAATACTGTTTATTTTGCTCTTGCCTGCTTTTAAGCAGTAGTTTAATTGTTTCTGTCACAATCGGCCATTTCATCAACTGTCTGCTTTTCTGAAGTTCAAATAATTTCAGTACCAGTGGGAACTTTTTCCATATCTCTTTTCCAAACAAGATGCATTGCAGCTGACTTAAAGTTGTGAATTTATGGCATATAGATTCACTGAAAATGTAACCATCACATAAAAGACAATACTTGAGAGTCAATATGTATACACGATAAGTTCCAAAACCAAACACATTACTGAAGGTCAGACTGGACTCGTAATGGTCTAACATTCTGCATTTGAAATCATAATTTGTGTCCTGTTGTTATAAAAGCATGCTTCTGTATTTTCATGTAAATAATCCATCCCCTGGTGTACCCTGCACCTGAGGAAAAAAGTGCTCTAAGAAACTTTTAGGCACATATTAACCACACTTGTGAATATCCCACAAGCCAGTGAAGACTACAAAAATTAAATAATCTGTTTACATTAACACAATAAAACCTTCACTAAAAAGAGATTCCAGATTAGAGGTAACCTGTGGCTACCATTGGTTGAATTTACAGGAAGTTTTTCCACCAATCAAAAAAGAAGGATAAACCATCCAATCAGAACACACAATCTACCAGAATACTATAAAGACTAACAACACCATATACACACACACTGACCTGAAAACTATACTTCCGGCCTGGCATGGCCAGCTGGTTAGTGCACTCTACTCACAGTCGTGGGTTTGAATCCCCATCCCACCAAACGTGCTCGCCCTTTCAGCTGTGGGGGCATTATAATGTGATGGTCAATCCCACTATTTGTTGGTGAAAGAGTAGCCTAAGAGTTGGTGGTGGGTGGTGATGACTAGCTGTTTTCCCTCTAGTTATTCACTGCTAAGTAAGTTAAAGTGGAAAGCTTCTAGGAGTGTATTGAAAAACAGAAGACACACTTGGACATCCTTACACCATATTTCCTCGGTAACGTGGACGAGTTGCTGGTCAGTTATGATGCACCACAACAACCATCAACAATTAGTGTCACGTCTACAGGACATGATGGGATCAAAGTCAAGTCGATGGTCATCTTCAAACGAAAAACACGGAAAGCAAACATAAAAGGCTGGATGAATGAGAATGAAATGGAAAAGTTTGCTGAAAACTGCTGGCAGTGGCAGTCAGCAGCCTTCTTCACCAAAAAGAAATCCCTCCTGGTATTTGACTCTATGTCAGCCCATAAGTTCAACTTCATCAAGAAAAATTTTAAAAATTGACACTGAAATAGCTGTGATCCCTGGAGGGCTCACAAAGAAACTGCAGCCACTTGACCTCACCATAAACAGTTTGTTCAAAGTGAAGATCTACAAATGTTGGGAGGAAATGGATGATGGAGGGCCTGCATGAATTTACAGTCTCTGGGAAAATGATGGAGGGCCAGCTATGCCAAAGTTTACCATTGGGTTGTAGAAGCATGGAAAGCTGTCAAAGTATCAACCATTTTGAAGGAGGAGGATGAGAGCAATGACAATGTGGATTGCAGCACACCTACACTTGCCAACTCTGAGCTGCTTCACAGCAACACAGAAGATGAGGACTTTGATGGCTTTATGGAAGATGATTTACCGTTAACTTTGACTTAAATAAAACATCGCAAGATTGTGGACATAAGTTCATATATTTTAATTTGAAAGATATAATTTAACTTTCTTCTGTTGCTTTATGTTGTAAAGGGACGACTGTACTTATTTGGGAAGAAACTATACTGTTTATTATAGTCATTTAATTATTTCCTATCAAATTAGATATATGCATGTAACATGTGGAAAAGAACTGTTATTTAAGATATTATGATTAAACTTACAAAAAAAAAGCTTGTATCTTGTTAATAATTTAACTAAATTCCTAGTGGTTATGTCATGTGGTGAAGCCAGTCACAAGTTAAAGGTTATGGTGATGCTATGGGACACACTGAAAGTGAAACTTATTCTTTTTGGAATATGTCAGCAATTAATTAAGTCAAAAGTTTAATCTATTCAAAAACTGATAAATATAGTCAAAGGTTTTTATATTTATACTTTGTCCTTTAACCAGAGAATAACTCAGATTGCTAACAGATGTACTTATTGGCTGATTGATGAATCGCTCCATGTGTTGAACAAGAACAACATAAACAAATATTTGGAACAGAAAATTGGTGATTTTAGTCTTAAAACAAAAAAAAATACTGTATTACCAGCACATGAGTATACTCCACATTTTGAAAACTAATTTAACATATACTCTATGGGTTACTTGTGTGAAAGTGCAGTATGTACTTTGAGGATATAGAAGCACTATAAGAGTGGTAGTCAGATCTCTACTAAGATTAAAGTGGCCCAAGAGTTGACAGTGGGATGCTGTTACTTGCATGAGATTACATAGTTGAAGTATTTGATACTTTGAAATACTACTCTCCAAAGTGAAATTTCAGACAATGCAGTATTACTGTCAGAAAACAATTATTACATTCAACAGAATGAACTATTCACACTGTAAAAAATATTGGATAATAACCCATGTCAGCTGCTACTGTTGCAGGACGTGTGCAAGTGTGCCCCAGTATTATCAGAGCTTACCTGTATAGTAGGGGTACAACCACAGAGTAACTAAACAGAAGCCACTCACAGCAGTGAATATCACAGATGCTATCGCACATTCAATCCTGCCTTTGGAGCCAATTTAGTTTTACTTAAGAAACCTCAGATGGTGGATGCACCTAGTCTGGCAACTATCCTTCCAAGATCTTTAATTGAACCATCTGCAAGCTATGATAAACTATTGTGGTATTTTAGCAGCTGGATGATTACAGTTGCAGTTATGCAAAGAGGCAGTCAATGCTCCTTGATAATCAAAATTTTTATACATCAAAATAAACATAGTGCTAATATAAAAACTGTGGTTAAAACACTGTTTGGTGGTAAGAATATTTAATCCCAGAAGAAAGAATGTTCTTCAGCAACAAACAAATAGGACAGGACTTATTTTAATCTCCTTGTTTTTTAATATGTGATAAATAATGAATGAGCAATATATACATGATAACTTTTCAACTCAGCTAAAAGGACGAAAAAAACTTTGAAGCTGTTCACCATCTTATCACCTATAGTGATCCAAATAAATGACAACGTATACGTTATTGTATATCATGCTGGGATTCAGTCATATTTTCCAGCTGTGTTTGGCCCGGCATGGCCAAGTGGTTAGGGCGCTCGACTCGCGATCTGAGGGTCGCGGGTTCGAATCCCCGTCCCGCTAAACATGCTCGCCCTTTCTGCCGTGGGGGCGTTATAATGTGACGGTCAATCCCACTATTCGGTGGTAAAAGAGTAGCCCAAGAGTTGGCGGTGGGTGGTGATGACTAGCTGCCTTTCCTCTAGTCTTACACTGCTAAAGTAGGGACGGCTAGCGCAGATAGCCCTCGTGTAGCTTTGCGCGAAATTCAAAACAAACAAACAAACCAGCTGTGTTTATTAAACTAATTATACTTGTATAAGCCATTTACTGTTTTGTCACTTAAAATGTCATAAAAATATAGACTTGTATCAAAATATAGTTTACGTTTTAACCCTTAATGTGCGAAGAAATGTTCACTTGTTGCTGTTACTTTTCAACTGTCCGTTAAAGTGATCTTATCTATTAGAGATGTTTTCAGACTTTTTAATTTATTAGTCCTCTTTTTTTTTTCTAACCTATAAGAGTATTTGCAAATCCAGAATGCAAAGTCGAGTCTCACGGAGTTTCATTGATTAAGTAAGTTTTAGGAAGCTCAAGTTTTGTGGTTGTGCTTTGAATCAAATAAAATATTTTATGTCTTTGTTTCAAAAACAAACATTTTTTTCTCTGAGGTACATAAAATAAGAAATTGAAAGTGGATTTAGTTGTTAGAAAATGTATTGGAACAAATTCTCAGATAGCATTTTTCTTTCCATCAAAGGCTCAACATCCCTAACATTAGCAATAAAACATACAGCTGACACTTATGAAGAAATAGGAAACATTTATGAAGAACAGGTAAGATATGCTACTTTATCTAGAAATGTTTTTAGATCTTAAATTGAATTATTGTTACTATTACTAATGTGTCGAGTGTAATATTAAACATCGTGCAGTAATTTAATCACCCAACAAAAACTGGAACTGAAAGAAACTAACGTGTACTTCAGTAGGAGTAGGACTTTAGATTTATGTTTAACATCAAATTCAGAGGAACTGCAGAGGGGTGATATTCGAGTTAAAAGAAAAAGCACACTCTAATAAAAAGCAGAATATATTAACCTCAGAAAGCCATATTTTACTGCCAAAAGATCTTGCTTCTCAATAGTGTTTGTCTACAAAGATGAGGAATTTAGTGGTTGGTCAGACTATGTTCCTCTTGCACAAAATAGTGAAAGTCCTCATCTTGGCTTTCTATTATTGATTAATAAAAAAAGCACTTACGAATATTAGATTCATGGTGGTCTAGAACAGTAATAAAACCATTGAGTGTCTATATTCCATCATATATTGTGCTGGTGATGCTGCCTTAGCCCTAGTGCCACTGCTGCTACTCTGCTACAACTAATGGTATTATAATTTATGAAATTTTTGGTAATTATAAAATTTAATTTAGTTTTTTATAAATGGGGAAACAACAAACTAATTTGTAGCATACAACCCTGAATAAAATTGATTTTTACTGAACTCAGATACTTAAGAACCCTTCATAAATTTACAAAAAGCCTCTTGAACATCATAATTGTAGGAAATGAAAACTGACTACCCATTTTCTACGTAAAAAAAATTGAACAATTTTTGTATTAATAAGTTGTTTATCTCACCAAAGAATTATATTAACTCTTTGAAATATGTACCCTTTTCTGCATATGTCAAGAGATTTTGCTGAATTACATTCAAAATTTAATTTAATTGATTTATTATCAATACACGAATAAACTTGGCATCAAAACATTGCTAGTAAGTTAAATTTTAATATTATAAAAGTTTAAGTTCTTAATTTTATAAGGAAATATTTTAAAATCTTCAATCTGGGAATTGTGGCATTTGCTCTAATTTATTTACCACTCCTCTGAGAAATATGGAATTTAATGTAAACTACTCATTATGATATCGTTATTACTTAGGCAAAGCATAATTTTTATAGTCTTCAACCTTATTTGGTCACAGAAACATAACTTAGTAAATCAGACCCTTCTTGCTATGCCCACCTGTCACAATTGCCAATATTTCTTTCTGACAAGTAATACTATATTATTTATAACAAATAGAAAGTCAAAGTTTTAATCTATCAAATGATGTATTATATTGTATTACTTTCTCTACAGAGAATTTTATTTTTCACTTTCAGCTCAGTTCATTGTCTGCTTTTTACATGTTATCATCCTATGTCCTTAAATGCATTATTTAATTAAATATAAAATTATTTATTGCAGTAGAACCATTAGTTTAAAAAGGTAGGGTTAAGTTTCATAGACAATCGAAAGCAAAAAAAAAAAAGAAGATCCAGGTAAGTACTATATTTCTTGTTTTGTTTTACATATATATTTATTATTATAAAGATAACTAAAGTGTAAAAATTAGAAACTTGTTAGGTTAGATAAGGTTGGGTTAGGTAAGATAAAAAAAAAAATGTTCATGAGCGGCTCACAAGTAGCTTGTGTGTTACATAATTTGATAGTGTACATGAGTTACACTTTTGCTGAATGATTTACAACTTGTTTGTTGGGATTTTTATTTACACACAGTTCAAATGGCAATAAAACAATAAAATTTAAGTATAAACAGATGTATACTCTTATGAGCTTTAAGCTATTTGGGATAAGCGAATGTAGTTTCCTGTTACAATTTAAAGTCATTCTAAAAAGAAGAAATGGGTAATACAACTTTATTTCATATTTTTACATGGTGGTTATGAAGTCAGTCAAATAGAGTTAGTGTAGAGAAAATAACATCAAATATAGTTTTACTGCAAAAAAAAAATGTTTGAAATTTATATAGGAGACTTTGAAGATTGTACAAATAAAATTTAACGATTTTCATATGAAGATAAGTATTTTTAATCTTAACAAGAAAATCACTTTACACTTGGAGAAGTCAATGTTTTGACTCATATTCATGGAAAAATTTTTAGTAAAAATACTTCATTATAAATCCTGACTTTTTGGCTACAAAAGACTTCTAATGTTTACTGAAAGTTTGCAAAATTTTTTGAAGATACACAAAACTAATATAATTTTTTTTATAATATAGAAGCCCTACAGCTCTATTGTCCGAGCCTATTGCTGGAGAGTTAAAAGTTTTATAACAATATGTATTGCATCTAGAGCTAGTACTGCTAGGACTAAACCAGTTAATAGGATAATAAGGCAGAAGATTGTTCCAATTGTAACATGGTACTCAACACTATTATATTTTGCTTTTGAGTAAAAAAAAAAAAATTATAAGATGATGTACACAAACATACATAATGTTAAATACTTTTGACACTATTTATTCTTAAAACTTCTTTAGGAATTACATTAAAAATTCTTATCATAAGAAATTAATGCCTTTATCAGTAACAGTGATGAAAGATCAGATTGTTTTTAGAAAATATTTTTATCTGTCATTGATTCTTCATATAATATAGAACTGTCCTGAATAATAATATAAATGCATGAATGGAATTTTTTTTCTTTCTCTAAAGCCTAAGCAGGACTTTGAGCCAATGGGTGACATTCTTCATGAATACAAGGGCATGTTAGCTGCATGGCCAGACATATTGCAGCTGAACAAGGTACTTTCATGATTTGACAGTTTTATTTGTGTAGTCCAATGTGCTCTACTTTCATGTGTTCTCTGGAAATGTGTAACCAGACAAATAGATGCAGTGAAGAAGATATTAGAACATTGTTAATAGTGTAGGTAAATATTCAAATGTAAAAGTTGGCATTTTGTGGCTAAGCCCTTCAAGATCTGTAACTGTGCAAGCATCACTTTGAGAATATTGGAAAATATTAATATATTAAAAAAAAAAGTAAAAATTAGAAAAGGTTTGAAATTTTCTTATTTACATGAGCATTTATCACAGTATTAAAATAGTTACATGTATGTTGGAAATAATACGGTATAAGCTTGCCCATCTTGCTATCATTTAAGATATGGCAGTGATACTTGTGAAAAGTTTCACTGATCAAGCAGACATTTTACCTCTTTCAAAAATATCCAATTTTTGTCAGAGATATTCTACGATAAACTTGGATAACACCAAGTTGAGCGACACTCTAGTCAGATCAAGATGTATGGCAACCTGATACCGCCCAAACTTCCTTTCTCTGCAGTTGTACCTGTTGCATTACTTACCACCACATTGATAATGTAATTTTTATACATGGTCAAGTATTTGCTAAATCATCTGTATGACATTATCAATTGTGATCTTAGATATTAGAAAATAAATGGTACAGGAGGATAATAGAAAGTTTACCCAAATTGTTTTTCTGAGAAGAATGGAGCAACTCTGTGCATGATTTAGTCTTATCTTAATTGTTTTGATCATCAGTATGCTCATACTTATTGTTAATGTCATTGTTCACACAGCATACATTTCAACTGACCTTAATGTGTTCCTGCTCTTATAATGGTTAAAGTCACAGATCTTGAAGAGCTTAGGTGGGAAAGGTTAACTTTGACATTAAAAAGTAAATTTTGTATAATTCTGGGTCACATTCTACACTTTTTAATTTGGCAAGTAAATATTCTGTGACCTTTAAACTGTCTTTAGATTATTCACAAGAAGAAAAACAATATAAAATGTAATCTGATATCTGCATTATGTTGATCAATCCATTAGTCATATAAAAAGTGAAATAATTCTGGGTTACCACTGAATAACTAAATAATCATGTATTTGTATAAAAGTTTAAAATATTAAACTATAAAACAAGGTTTCTGAGTAAAGCATAATGGATTTATTTTAGGCTTAATGATAGTAAAGTATTTGATGGTTTAGATGGAATTAACAGTTGCATAACTGTATTAGGCATGTCTCTTCTTTAATAGAGGTTTTTTATCCTTTTGAAAAAATTTCGACTTTCTTAAATAAGAAATTAGTTATATAAGTTGTTCATTGTATTGTATACCAATACATATTATTTTAAAAAGTAATGCCACTTTAGACGTTACTGTGTTTTGAATCACTGTAGTACAACTATACCATTTGATGAATGGGACTTTTTTGACTGATAAAGTCTGACTGTTTTTTTAGTATATTACATGTCTCAACTGAATTAAAGATTTTTTTCGTTAGTACAATAATATATGTTCAAAATATCAATTATCTTGCCCAATTTTTTTACTATCATAGAACTATAAAAATTGTTGTTTTCTGTACATAGCAGCTTGCATCTTCTTACGTTAAACATTCATAGTAACATCATTATACATCTATCTCATCTGTCACTTCTATAACTGTTTGTTTATTTTATTTTCTTTTATCCAGAGTGCAATAAATAAAAGAAAAGATTACCAAAAACTCACAGAAGAAGGTAAATTAAGCGCAGAAGAAGTTCAGTCTATTTACCAGAGGATAGATGTAATCTCTCATTCAACTCTTGCAGAAATAACTCATTTTCAGTTAGAACGAATAGAAGACTTTAAATACATGATGGAGGGATTTTTATCAGCTCAGATTGGTTTCTATCAAGAGGTAATGCTTTTACTACAGCATATATTCTACCTTTTCTCTTTGCTGAGATATAATATTTATCGAATCCACAATATTGACTCCACCCATCACTTCATCATTTGAGAAGATTTGTTTATCTACTCCTGCTCTTCTATACCTATAAGTTTATAACAAGTTGAAAGCTCTACATTTCCTATACGTAATTCTGTTAGTCTTTCTATGTTATTTACGAAAGAAAAGCGCTTATATTGTTGGAGAGTTTGAAGTATTATGATCAATGCTATTTTCCGAACAGAAATTATATTTTTTTTTAGGCCCAAATGCAGCATAGTTAGGAAGCCTGGTAAATTACAATAGATTTTTGTGGTATTGGTACTGTCATTTATAAAAATTTTTTGTATTCAAGTATGGCTATATATAAAGTCTAAAAATTATTACTTTCTACATCGCCATTGTGAATTTGGACCTGGCTTACGACAAGGGTTAGCAAGTACGACTCACGAGTGGAAAAAACAACTTCGAAACATCGTAAGTAATGGAGATCATTGTTTTCCAAAT